TGCAGCCCGTCTTTCCTTAATCTTTCCTCCTTATTTTTACTTTTATTATTGCTTTTCTGCTTACATCTGCCCTCTTTCCTACCTATACGTAGGTTCCTTTTTATTATCGTGTCTATACCGTCCATCTTTACTTTGTACTTTCGTACCAATTCATCTTACTACATTCTTTGCTCACTGTTTTTTTTTTTTACCTTTTGTCCTTAATCTTTCCTACATATTTCTATGTTTCATATTTCTTTCTTTCCTTAATATTTTCCTACCTATTTATGTTTATCTTTCGTATTCTATCATGTCTGTTCTATACCTGCTTTTTGTTATTGTTTTCATCCTCTACCTACCTTCTTTCCAACCTATTTCTACTTATTTTTATTTTTTTTTATTGTTTTTCTACCTATACCTTCCTTCTTTCCTACCAATACCTAAAATCTCTCTCTTTTTACGATCCTGTCTATACCTGCCATATTTCTATCTACATACTTTCATTTCTGTTCTTCTTAGTACTTTCCTACCATCTTTTCCCATCACCTTTCCTACCAACAGTACCAGTCAAAGGTTTGGACACACCTTCTCATTCTATGGCTTTACATCAAAACTATGAAAGAACACATATGGCATTATGAATTATATCCATAGTTTTGATGTCCTCAATATTAATCTACAATGTAGAAAATAATTAAATAAAAACCACTGAATAATCCAAAATCCAAACATTTGACTGGTACTGTATAGTTGCCCTATTTGTCTCAATACTTACCCACCTACACCTACCTACTTCCTTATTTATTTGGTTGTTGTTTTTTTTTAACCTATTTCTACTTTTCTTATTACTTTTCTACCTATACCTACCTTCTGTCTGACCGATACCCAGGATCTTTTCTTTATTACGATCCTATCTGTCCCTGTAATCTTTCCTTATTTCTCTCCTACCCATACCTACCTTCTTTCATTGTTATTGTCCTTATTTATTTTCTATCCCTGTCATATTTCCATATTACTTTCCTATCTACATCTACCTTCTTTCCTTGTTACTTTCCTACCTACTTTCCCAGTTGTTTTCGTACTACTCACCTATACATTCTTTGCTTAGCCCTTCCTCCTTGTCCCTGCTTACTTCCCTTATCACCTTTCTACCTTATTTTGTAAAGAGTATTTAATGGAAAAACACAACATCAACATTTTCCAACACAGCCACGTCCACAACAACACATGGACACAAACAGAAGTCCAGATAAACATTTGATCTATAAAATTGTGCGACTCCATCATTTGCAGATTTCAGGGAAAGGACTGAAACTCTTTTCACCTCAACATTAAACGATTTTCTCATTAGTAAATGAACATTTTCCACACCAAGGGAGACTTTTTATCTTTTAAAGACGTTAACACAGAGTTCCACTTGCAGTTTGAAACCAAACTCCTAACATTTAGTCAATAAGATGCCGACAGCACCATTAATATCTGCGGTCACTCTCGGACCATTTCTGCCTCTTTTCCCATGAAAAACAATCTCATCATGACTTTGTAAAGAAGTGCAGCAGCTAAAGGTGAAATTTAATTGAACAAAGCAGCCGGTGTCCATTTCTTAATGCAGCAGCGTTGTGCCAGAAACTCCAAACACAGCGTCCATTTCTTAATTCAAGGTTGCCACGCCAAGTTTTATACTGTCATTCCATTTCCTGATGGAGTCGCGGACCCGAGCCAACGAGGCGGCGAGACGACAAACGGCTTTATTTTAGAACAACTGTGATAGATGAATGTGTCTGTGTATGTAGTTACATGGATGTGCATCAAGATATCAAAACGCTGATGCAGTCTGGGGCGGTTTGAATAACATTTTTTTCATTTGTTGCTTTTTATGACCGGGCGGATAAAATAAAGAGGCCTTGTGAATATAAAGACAAATGTACCATAAAATACCCTCGGGGGAGATGAGATACAGTGGAAAGACTGTTTAAAGGAGGATGCAATTGACCCATAAGGTTGAATGCGACACCATTTTAAATCTTTTTCTTTTCATTGTTGTCCATTTCTGTCTAAGATCACGAAAAGCTCCATTTGTGCTGATCTTAAAGCTGTCAAACTCTTTTAAATGTAATTACAAAACTGGGTCTCTGTCTACTTGAGTGTACTCCAACTTCAGGTTTCTATACATAAGAAGAGACACCTGAACATTTCACCAAAAAATACATTAAATATAACCATGCAGACACTCTTAATTGTTTTTCTTTGGAGGCAGCACTGTGTTATCTGTTACATGAGTCATATTTCAGTGTCTGTGTTAAGTGTGAGGAGACGAAAAAATACCTTAAGTTGTCATGGCACCTGCACCAAAATTAGAAAATCTATTTCAGTCCAGCAACAATAGATGAGCAGAATTAAAATGTTAGACAGAGACCAGCAGTTTTCAGACAGTACTCATTTTTTCAACTACTCTTACCTGGAGGAGTTGTGTTGCTTTGCCTCTCACTTTAAAATACACCAAAGATGTTCTATTGGATGGTTCTCATGCTGGAATATTCTTCTTCCAGCTTCTGCAGACTGGGGGTATTCTGGTTTATCCTCACACATTCATCTATTAATGTCATCAACACTTTTTACACTCATGCAGCCTCTTACCATCACTCTCCTTCCTCTGTGCTTCACTGTCAGGACGATGCATTCACTGTCCTGCTCAGGTTCACACCAAACATGCTGGACTCCATCTGAGAACAACAACTTTATATTCTAACCAAAGAATGTTCTCCAACATTCATCAGGCTACGAAGTTTTGCTCTGAACAGCAGCAACGTGTTTTTTCTTGTCACATAGAGGTTGATGTTCTGAGATGTCATTCACAGAGACTCTGATAATGTCAAGTCTGAAGCAGCTGCCGTCTATTTCTCAAAGCTAGATTGTTAAAGTAGTTCACTGTCTGTGGAGTCATTTTAGGAGGACGACCACTGCAGCCCTGATTAGTGCTACGATGTCTCCTCCTACACCTCCTGATTACTGCTGAGCCTGTGTGTATGCAGATTTTTTGTTGATCTTCCTGGATCATTTCCCATCATTGAGAAGTCTCACAGTTATATTATTTTAATTCATCTGGCATTTTTGTTTTTTTTCCCGATGTGGAGCCATGATGTAGACATAGACACAGCCCATGTTGTGGTGTGTACAGCTCATTTTATAACCTGGTTCATCCAGTTAGGTTGGGTTAGCTAATCTGACAGTCCTTTCTTTGGGGCCTGTATTTTCAATATAGCCTTTTTGAAGTATTTGTTTTTGATGCGTCATAAGAGAAAATGCTCTGTTCAATGGAGAAATAATGCAGATATTGAAAGGTGGTACAGTTTAGAATGATTTGATATTTAACTGACACATTACATGCAGCACTGTGCAAAGACTTTAGACTCTTTAGATGTTTAGATTCTTACCTATCATGCAATTTCATACAAATACAAAGTAGTCTGGTCTCTCATGAATCTTCTGTGCTGTACGTGATTCACTCTGCTCCTATGAGACGATTGATTTGCATAAACCTGTGTGCTACTACAAACCTAAACATAATAAACTTGAGAAGAGAAGCTTCAGAAATGCGGCTTGGCTTCCAGCGGTGGAGACGTTAACCCGACTGCTGCATCAGTGTTTGCTAACAGCTCTCAGACTGACAGTTGTTGTGTCTCTTGTGTCTTTTGCAGATCCTGGTTCTGGTTCAGGAGACGGAGACGGTGAGTGTTTCATTTTTTTTTTTCTCTCCTTTGGGCTATTTAAAGATTTCATTTCCTGCTTCACTTCTGCTGCGACTGAAAGTCAAACACAAATCAATTACAGCAGAGTCTTTTTCCGCCCTGCACAAACATTAGCTGCTTGTTTTCTGAGTCCTCTCTGATGTGCAGAAGCTAATCACTGCTGAGGTCGAAACGTGGCTGAACGCAGCATTTGAGGATCTATTATTCTGCCTCTGTGTGTGTGTCTTCTCGCGGCTCTGCACCCCCTCGTTGTACATCAGCTCCTATAATAAAGGTTGTGTGTGGGGGGGTTTCGGTCGCTGCATGAACTCCTCCCTGAAGAACAGGCTGATATTTTCCGTCCTGTGGGAGTCGAGCTCAAAGCCTCGCTGTTGCCAAATTTGGCAACAGAGACATTTTGCAACCATCTGCGAGCGCCGACCACAGAGTTTGTTGTTTAATTTGGCTGCTGGAGGGGTCTTAATTGAAGAGACGGTACCTCCACCATCTGCATGTGGGCGGAGTCGACGGGCCGGTGATTCCCCTGCAGGAGGCCGAGCGGTCCGACCTCAGAGATTAATCATTAGAACTGACTGCAGCTCTCCACTGTTTGTCTTTTGCTCTCCAAACATGTTCACACCTTCCTACCTGATAAAATGTCTCTGTGGTGAGTGATTTGAAACTGTTATTTAGTGGATATTTAGTGATTATATTCCCTCACAAATCATCCATGTCAGGAATTTGAACTTGATTGAGATACAAGAAGAAGCCGAGACCATCTTCTTCACTGAAAATTTGATTTGGTCTTTTCTTGCCCTTATTTTCATGTCAAATTCATGTTATATTGTTGCCTGCCAGACTGGCTACCTTAGAGATAATTCATGGTTTCCATAAACAGGACTCAAAACAGCAAACTTGTACTAATATTCTTTTTTACAAAAGACTTGAAGCAGCTCTCCTTGATTCAACAAGTTTGAGCTTCAAAAACAATAGAAAAGAGAAACTACAGTATTGCAATTATTTAATCATGAGGCTTTGTGCTTTTAAGCGATAAAAATTAGATTCACAATGACCCAACGCCGTTCAAAATGTTCTATTTTTGAATTGTTTTTTAAATATATGTAAGTTCTCTAATGCAGGACATACAGGAAATGAATTTGTCTACATTTTAAGCAGTTATTATTTTGTACTATATTTATTCAGTATTTTCCACTTTATGTCCTTGAAACTTTGCTCGTAATTTCCAAAAACTCTGCTGCATTTCAGGCGCCGATTGCAGGTTCTTTTCAATGATGCAGTTTGGTATTAATCATAAGCAAAATGGACAAAGTGTTTTTTAAGTGGCAACTTATCAACTTCTCCCTCCCTCGTGTTTCCAAGTCACGCCAAGCAGTCTAGTAAAAATATCTAAATGTTGGTTTTGAACCTTCTCAATTCCTGCAGCTCTTGACTCTTCGTCTTCGTTCACTTTGCCTCGTCTAACAATAAGCCTCTTTTTCTGTCCCGATGTAAAGTTTCTGCACTTATTCTGGTTGTTTGTGTGACATTTCAGTTACCTGCAAGGTAAAAATCCACCGACAGCTACCAGCACTAACAACAACACCATCTTCCTCATATGTTGTTGCACTACTGATCTTCCTCAGCCTTCGTTTTCCTGAGAGTTTTAGTCGGCATCATTCTGTTTATTCCATTGCATCATGTGATCGACATTTACTTTAAGATAGGTTTAAGCAAAATACCAGTCTGGTCTCATTTTAGTCATTTGCATGTTATATTTTAGTTTCAAGAAAGGAAAAAAAAGCATTATGCAAGCAAAAACTCGTAACTTGTTGTCAATGTCCGTCAGTTTCCTAGAAGACGAACAAAGAGTTGGATAGAAAATAAGTCATATTGAGTCTCTTTTATTTTACAGATCTATGGAATTTACTCAGAAACCTGAAACTGCAGAGAAAAGTTTTGTAGCGTGAAGTGAGTTTTATTTGTCAATCATCAGATCAGTTTGAGACACAATACCACAGCCATATTCACACATTTAAAAACTGTGTAGACCAAATGTCCGCTCTACTCTGGAGTTTTAGGATCCTCAAACGGAGATTTTTAAAACCCTGCTGACCCTGTTTTGGTCTGAAGACATATTTAGCTCTGGACGGGCAGAAATGGAGACCTTTGGAATAGATGTTGATGCAAAGACCCATAATTACATTTTGACTGGGCTTTCATTTTTTCTGCTTTGTGACAAAATCGAAGACTTCAGCCTTGAGTAGTGAAGGTTAAGTCATCCTGGATAATGAAATGAATTGTTGACCTTGTTGCTGCTGCTAACAGCTGCTGTGCAGGTCAGTCTTCCTTTACAACATTTCCTATTTTCCTCTGTAGTATTTTCTACAGCTAACCAACCAGCCGTTCTGCTTCATGTTTTCACCAGCAGCCACATGTATGCTCTGGATGGACATTATTTCTAACACAAATCTGAAAAACTGGTCTGGATGAAGGCTGTTTTAGATTAAAAACATCTGAATGTTAGCTGAAGAAATGTCTGCAGCCTCAGACTTCATGTAAGAATGCAGCTCAACCAGTACATCTGTACGTCCTGATCACCGAGCAGATCACAAGTGTAAAGAACCCACTATGCATTTATCTTGAGAACTTGATTATAACAAGCAGCGACTCAAGAACTAGTTTCCAGTGAAGTAGCTGGAATATAAACTTTCTCAAACACCTTTCAAATAAGTCTTTTCATATTTAAAAAGGGCCCAGTAGCAGCAGGTAGCTGCAGTTTTCACACATTTCACAGAAGGAGGAAGAGCATCTGTTGGTGGCTGATAAAATGAGGCCTGACATTCACAAACAACAACAAACAAATCAGAGCTGTGAATAATTTATCCAGTAATGTCTGTTGTAGCAGAAATAACTCGGAGCTGATGCTGTTTGGGCTGATTACAGAACATTTAGCGACCTGATTAACTTTTTGAGGACATTTTTTGCCACCGAACACGAAGCAATGAGCGCAAATCGCGTAACAGCTAATGCTAGTGTTAGTTTTATTCAGGAAGAATGTTTTTAATTCAGTCACTTAATATATGCACCGGTCTTGTGCTGCGTGTCGCTGGTTTCATCGTATCAGACCTGTTATTTAGAATCAAAGTGGGATCTGTGAGCAGACTGAATCCGTCTGGATTAACCGTGTCAGACCTCTGAGGTTCTGATTCATGGTGCTGACCAGCTCTGATGGATTTGTTCGGCTGCCTCCATCCTCAGCTGTCAGTTTGATCCTTTAACCTTTTCACTTGACGTCTAATTAGCCTCCTCCTGCCTCCGTAATGTTCAGCTTTGTGTGTGCGTCGCCTCTCCGGCTTTGTGTGTCGCCTTGGAGTGTAAAACAATGTGACACGAGCCCTAACCTCCATCGTCTGGTTCTGGACCCAAAGCGTCTTAAAGCTGCGATGATTATAAAGTCCATCTAATGTGGATTCTTAGAGAGCAAATATTTTGCTTTTTGGGTTCAGTTTGGAGCTGCTTTTTTGTGCATGCAAGAGGTCTGCAACAGCTCATTTTAAACTCAGGCATTTCTTCTGTCGTATGAACCGCTGTGTGATGCATTTACATTATATTTTGGACAGGTTTTGAGTACTTTTTGAGTCATTTTGGGTTTTTTTGGTTTTTTGTTTGTTTTTGCATCACTGGACAAACTTCAAGTCATTTTTGGACTTTTTGCAGAATTTTCTATTGTTCATTTGGACACAGTTTGTGTCATTTTAGACATTTCTTTTGTCATTTTGGACAACTTTTCTGCATCACTGGACAGATTTCAGTTCATTTTGAGACATTTTCTGTAATTTTGGACGTTGTTAATTTGGAGACAATTTTGTATCAAGTCAGATTTTTTCTTTTTATCACTTGAGACCATTTTTGATTAATTTTGGACAATTCTCAGTCATTTGGACAAGTTTTAGGTAATTTTGGATACATTTTGATCCCTTCAGTATAGATGAGTTTTCAATCATTTTAGACCTGTTTTTGTCATCTTGGACCATTTGTACACCACTTTGGACAAGTTTAAAGTCTGGACAACTTTTGCATAATTTTGGATAATTGTTTTGACAATTTGGACCAGTCATTTTGGACAGGTTCATAGTCATTTAGAATTTTCTTTTTGGCACTTTAGACCACTTTTGGATTACTTAGGACAATTTTGTACATCACTGTGGAAAATTTTTGAGTAATTTCAGACAAATTAAAAATCATTTTGGACAAATTTTGAGCCATGTTTGACATTTAGTCCATTTGGACTACATTTTTTGTCATTTTAGACATGTTTGCATTGTTTCGATCCATGTCAACAATATGGAGTCATTTTAGACAAGTTAAAGTTATCCCAGACAGCTGACCTTCAGACTTGGATGAGCTGCTGCTAACGTCATTCAGGACCATGAGAGGAGCCACCATTAAATTTCGCTGCAGAGCTTCAAGCATAGAAACAAACCTGCGAATGACGATCAGGTCTTACAGGATGGAGATCAATAATGCAGTTTGTCTGTTCCAGGCAGCTCATTTTTTGTTTCCTTTCAGTCAGACTGAAACCAAACATTTAATCTGATTTGTGTAAAAACCTGTTTGTTTTTGCAAAACCACAGGGAGCTGGTGTTTTTGGTCCGATATACGCTGCTTTTCCTCATTTCCTCGACTCCTTACGACAGAGGTGGACGATGCAAAGTGTGCGTGACCCATCAAGACACATTAAAGGAAAATACAGCAGGTTTACTGAAAAGCCAACAGGTTTGCATTTTGGTGTTTTTCTAAGATAAAAGTGACTTAATTGTCTCTGAGAGGAAATTTGACATATCTACAGAATAACAGTCACGTATATGGTTCGCATTACATACACTGAACAGTCAAAGATGAAAAATCAGGTGTGTAAACGAGGCAGCGTCCATGAATGGGTCAGATACGAGCAGCGTTTGGTTGCAGAGCGTCTGGTTGAGGGTGGAGTCGGTGTGAAG